GGTACAGTCAGAAGTGCGGGAGGGTGAGAGAATTCACCAGAGCCAGAGGGGAGAGCAGAGCAGGCAGACTGACAAAGTACACTGCTGAGGGGAGCAGCGGGCGGCAGGAGAGGTCTGTGCACCATGCGGGACCCTCCTCTGGTAGCCGGGGAGCAGCCGGGGATCGAACCGGCGCTGCAGAGGCTGCGGGCAGCCTTGCAACCCAGCGCTCAACCACTGTGCCACTGGGGAGGCCCTGGATCCTTGTTCTTGCATAACATGGTTTAGAGACAGATGGCAGAAAGGACACCTCCCTTAACACAACAGCGTTCTTGAGGTCCTCTAGAGAGTTTCCAGGTGAGTCCTGACTTGAGAAAAAGATGGAAGGAGGTGAGAAAGCCTTCCCTTTATAGTCAGCTGAGACATTTGAGGCAGGAGTGGAATGGGGCAGACAGGAGCTCTGGGCCTCTAGGGGACGCAGGAGCAGGGGTATCTGAGCTGGAGCTGTAAATGCTGCCAGGCAAGACTGAGCACCAATTCTTTGTTCTTGCCATTCTCCAAATCTGGATCCTGCCGTTTATTCTTTCAAAAATCTCAACACCATCTTTTCCCAGCATGCCCTGAGAGAAGGTTGGAGGATCAGCCCTGCCTAACAAATAACAGGTGTAACTTACTCATTCCCTGTGACAGGTTGGCGTGTCCTACCAGTACTAGCTCTTGCATGGCTCACCTCCATCTACACTGTTGGAGTTGTGATTGTTATTTTACAGATGAAGGAATTGAGCTTTCCCAAAGTTAGAGAACTTGCCAAAGGCCACACAACACGTGAGTGTCAGGTTCAGGACTCAGTTAGGTTACCTTTTTTTTTAATATTTATTTATTTGTGTATACAAGAACTGGGATGCAGGCAAAAGGTGGGGGGTAGACAGAGTGGGGAGCAGAACAGGTAGATCTACTGAAATACACTGCTGAGGGGAGCAGTGGGTGAGACAGGAGAGGTCTGCTGCACTATGTGGGTCACGTCCCTGGCCAGGGATTGAACTCGTGCTGCAGTGGCTGCCATAGCTTCATAGTGCTAGGTCTTAATCCCTTGTGCCACCAGGGAGGCCCCAACTCAGATAATTAACCCTTTTTATGACTCCAAGTCTGTCTTGACGGTCCTTTACCTTTCTTTTATCCCTTATTCATTCCTTACATTTGTGTAGCATTTAACAGTTTGCAAAGTGTTTTCACCTAAACCTCAGCATCACTCCACTCCGTTTCAGGGTTTCACCATACTTAGTAGCAATGCCTTGCCTTTCCCCCTCCCCTTTCATGTGCAAAGCTCTTGCTGCACAGAGAATGTGACCATCCCCACTTGACCCATCTCCAAGCCCACAGCACTTTGCACAAAGCAGACCTATAACAAGTGTCTGGGACTCTGGGGCCAGGCTGCCTGGATTCAAATCTTGATAGTCCTACTTAGAAGCTATGTGACCTTTTTCAAGTTACTTAACCTTTCTGTGCCTTGGTTTCCTATCCTGTAATTCTTATTAGGATTAAGTGAATTAGTTCCTGACACATTCAGACTTGTTCAATACATTTTAAAATATTCATTCTTGGGCCTCCCCTGGTGGCGCAGCAGTTGAGCGCTGGATTGCGAGGCTGCCCGCAGCCTCTGCAGCACCTGTTCGATCCCCGGCCTCCAGGCGAGGGTCCCACATGGCGTGCAGACCTCTCCTGCCGCCCGCTGCTCCCCCTGTTACAGGGCAGGGAGAGGGGCAGCCCAAACCCTGCAAAACTGCCTATTCTAAATGGGTTCTGCCATCCGCCGCATCAACACAAAACATAGGAGACTTTAATGGGAAGGAACTTGAATACAACTAGGAAACAATACAGGAAAGGCAAAGAATCTAGTTTCTAAGTCAAGCACCCAAAGTTACCCGTCCCCTTTTGGGTAAAACTCCATCCAAATGGGATTGGCCCAGAGCAAGGCCACAAAGCCTGCCACAAGTCTAAAGCATCTTCCAGTGGGGACCCACAGAAAAGGGTCAGAAACAACCAGACAAGACCAGAAGGAAAAGAGCAAAATCAAAATCAAGATAAAAGCTGCCATGGTCACCTCCCCACGGGTGTCACCCACATCTGTGTCACCCAGGCCACGACCAAAAGACAAGCGCAGTTTCTTCACGTGTCTCTAGGCTCCATGTGCCTCCTCCAGGTCTCCTTCTGGCTCCATCCTGCTTCCTTCCTTCCTCAGTCTCCTTTGCAGCCTCTTCTCTCTCTCAGCTCCACTCTCCTTTTGGGTGGGGCAGGGAACCTGGAACCTCCCCCTTTCCTGGGGACCACCCTGTTACACCCTCAGCAGTGTACTTGTCAGTCTGCCTGCTCTGCTCCCCACTCTGGCTCTGGTGAATTCTCTCACCCTCCCGCGCTTCTGACTATACCCAGTGCTTGTATAAATCAATAAATAAATCTTAAAAAAAAAAAATTCATTCTTCACTTCTCTTCCTATTTCCCTCACCTCTCTTCTTCCAACATAACGATAATAGCTAACACAGCATTTATACTCTTGAGACCCTCCTCCTGCCCCCCCGCAAGCCCTTTATAGATCTTAACCCCAAATCTGAATCCAGTTCATACCTGAACAAGCCCCAGGCAGGGATGGGGGTTATTTGAGAGGGTCACGAGTCAAGTGGTAGGGAAGCATCTAGAAAACAACATGGGGTTTGGGGAGTGGTTCCACGAGGAACTGGGATTAGCAGACTCAGATGGGGACTGGCCTAGCTTTGGGTTCTGGGCTTCTAAGGTTACAGAGCCTCAGCTACAAAGAAAGGGCCGTAAAATGACCAGATGGAGAGCAGGTCTGTCAGGGCCCCACTTCAATATGCCTATTTGCTAGAGGACCCATTATGTGCCATAAAACCAACATTCAACAATTGTAAACCTCCCAGAGAACGCAAGGCTTTGCTTAAACCTGACATGAGTCAGGCACTTGCACACGCCATTTGCCTGGGCCAGCTCCTGACAGCAAAAGAGCTTGCAGGAGAGGTGAGAAGCCGGCTGGCAGGTCTTCCGTCCCTGAGAGATCATTTCCTGTTTCTTGCACTTTTGAAAGCCACATTCCCTGGGGCCAGGGGGCAGCCCTGAAAGGTCACAGAGGGGACTTCTGGCCAAGTTCTGTTTCTTATTCTACTTCTGGATGCTGCCCTTGTGAGGGTGCTCAGCTAGCCAGCCAGCCCTGTGTGCTGATGGTGCCTTTCTGTCTGTGTATTACACTTCAATAAAAAGCGACTAAAGTGTACACCCTCTATCACAACACAGCTATTTGTGACAGGGAAACAGTGGACACAACCCCAAAGTCCACAAACCACGTCACATCTGCATAACAGAAGACCCGGACACCATTAAAAATAATGAGGCAGAGATACAGGAAATGACATGGAAAGAGGCTCCAGTCTGGTGCTAAGCAAAGAAAGGAGGTTACAGAGAAGATAGCACTATCTCAAATCCAAAACCAAACCAAAATGGAATCTACAAAACATTGGATTGAACCATTACACAGAGTTGATATTTGACCACCTTCTATGATTCATCATCTAGATAGATATATACAACACACACAGCATGAAATGTGTGTATATGTGAATTTATAAGAAAAATTACCGGAAAAATTCACACTTTTGAAAGCAGACATCCTGCCATAAGCCATGGGGCCAAACCGGCTCTTTCCCAGCACCTAAGCCAGGGGATGAGCAGGCTCTGTCAGTGGCCGGACCCCCCAGGCGTCGGGCTGGAGGGCTGACCTGGGCTGGAGGGCTGACCTGGGCTGGAGGGCTGACCCGCTCAGCTGGGAGGGCGCCACAGCAGCGGGGTTTGCCTGCTGCTCCGGCCCCAGCCTGAGCTGCTCTAAAAGAGGAAGCGGCTGGGGCCGTGGCCAGAGAATGCAGCCTGCGGGCAGCCCCTCCGCTGGCCACAGCCGGGTTTGAGCGCCCCGAGCTCAGCCCTTAGGGCCCGGGAGGGGAGGCAGTTAAGCCGCCAGCAGCCCAGAACTACTTGCCTCTGGGCAGCATCCAGGCTGCTGGGGGTTGGAGTGGGGGGCGGGGGCGCTGCTGGAGGCTTCTCTCAGGCCAACTTCTGTGGGCCTGGCTTGATGGTGGCCCCAGCTCTAGAGAAGTTTGAGTGCCATAGAATCCCCCAACCTCGGGCCCAAGAGGCAACAGCAAGCCCCTCTTACCCCCCAAAACCCGCCACTCCCGCACAGGGCAACCTTGCCACTGCAGCCCTGGTGGGTCTGCATGCCCTGGGGCAGCACGGCAAGGGAAACCTAGTCCTGGCCATCACTGCCCACCTCTGTCTGCAGCATGAGCCTCAGTGGGGCGAGCCAGCCACGCCGCTGGGCTTGCACTGCCCTTAAGCAGCAAGGTTTGGGGGCTCCGGAGCCCTGAGATGGGGGGCCTCCAGCGCACAAACCTGTCCTGTGCCGGAGGAGGGGCTGCCCGCAGGCTGCTTACTCCGGGCCGCGGGTCCCCAGCTGCTACCGCTTTTAGAGCAGCTCAGGCTGGGGCTGGAGCAGCAGGGAAACCGCCACTGCAGCTGAGCCCTCAGCAGCTGCACCCGCCAGCCCTCCAGTCCTACTTGCTGGGGGTTTTGTCCATCAACAAAGCAGGAAAGAGCCGGCTTTGTTTTATGCTCTGGCTTATGCGCAGGGATCCGGTTTCACTTTGAACTGTTAACAATGAAGGTAAAGTACATATTTAGTTTCTATGCTACACATTTCTATGCCTTTAATTTTTTTTCTGTGTGAGCTTGTGTTACTTTAACTATGAGCAAAAAGAGATAACAACAATCACAAGACAACTTAAAAAAAAAAATAATAAACTCTCGTTCATCAGTGTCATAGAGGGCAGAGGGTGTGGACGCAGGGAGCCGGGGCTGGATGAGGGGAAGGCCAAGGTGACTTCTGACCCAGAACTGCCTGCTCCACCTGCTCCACCCCGAGCCTGAGTGAAATTTAGCTGTGGCGTTTAAAGCAAACGTACCTGTAAAATTTTGGAGTAACTGATCACAATGAGGAATCCTGGCACCAAGAAGTTCAAAATAACAAAGAATACATCCCAAAAGATCTCTCCGGCAATGTTGGGCCACACCAGGGTGCAAATTTGAATTTCCTGGTTATAAAAAGAAAGAGATCATCATTTAAATGTTGACTTCTGATTTGGCCTTTCCTCTTAGCAGTCGGTGTCACACAGATGGTATTACAGGAAGTCCCAGAATGCCTTCCACTGCTCATAGCCCACTGACAAATCATTGGCCTCTGACCTGCAGAATAACCAGCACTATTAGTGCCCTTCTCCAGGGCAGGCAGCTGAGCCTCAGGCTCACAGGCTGGTAAGAGGTAGAGCCATTCCTAGGTGTGGCTCCTGCCCGTGTGCTCTTTCCACTTCCCTGGATTAAGTTGCAATGGGCCATTGAGTTTTCCAAGCCTTCATTTCACAGGTGAAAAAACTGACCCCTGAACAATTAATGAAGAAGGGAAGTAATAGCTGCCCACAAGCACACCAACACAGGAAGGAGGTTTCGGTACAGTCATACTATGTATGCCAAAATCAAGGGTCGGTGTGAAGGATTGTGTTATTTTGGGGGATATTCAAATGTCAAAAATGTGACAAACTGTATCAAAGGTCATGGCTTGCTTCAACTCAATACTAGAAGCCAGACTCAGGGACTCTGTCTTCATCCATCCATTCAACTCATACTGAATGCTATTCCAGGCAGAGGGGAAGCATTTTTTATTGTTGTCCAATACGTATCACAATTGAGTGAGGAAACTCAAAATGCAATTCAATCGTCACCTCTTTTCCTATTCAGGGTTAGCAGAAAATTGTAACATTTAATATTTATTGAGCATTTATTCTATGCTGGGCAACACTTTCCATCCCTTATCTTACTGAAGGTTCACAAGCTCTATATTGAAATGTATTATTATTTTCCCCATTACACAAAGTAACTAAGGTAACATTACACAGGTAACTAAGGCTTAGAAAAAGTCTTCTAAAACAATCATTTAAAACACTAAAAGCATATTCCTTTTTAAGTATACAATATTTTCCCCAAAGAGCGAAAATGTTGTAAAGGATCTCCAGGAACCTACCAGGAAAGCTCTATGGAAAACAAATACTGTTTTCCATAGTATCTACATATCAAACAAGGAAGAATAATTATAGTTGTTCTGTGAAAAGGGAGTGAGAATGTTGCTTCATTTTCCTATTTTGTTTAGAGGTACCAGGTATTCCAAAAACTCGTTCCTCCATCCCTATCCCTACCGTCCACACCTGATGGGAGAATATTTATTAGGTCTTTCTTCCTTTTATTGTTTGAAAAGAAAGGTGAGTCTTTCAAGGATCTCCTGGCTGTAGGCAGCAAGATTGCCTTGGCTTTTTAGATAATCCAGGCAGACTCTGCTGTGTCCAGGCTCTGCCCAGCATGGACCCCCATTCCATGCACTGTGGGCAGCACATAGCAGCAGATACACTAAAGTAACAATCAGAAGAAATGGGTTCCAGCCCTCAGTGTGACTTGGTCTCTAACCCCTATACATGTGACAGAAAAATGTACAAGGAGGGCAGAAAATCAGATGACCCCAGAACCACTTCTTAAAGCCCCCAAGAGGCTGAATTCTTTCCAATGCCTTCTCCAGAATGTTTGCCAAATTTCTCCAGGCTTAACAAGATTTTGTAGAAGAATATGTAATGCTAGAGCAAAGTGTTCCCCCCGACATTCAGGACGAAAAGCAGGTCCTTAAACAACATGCTTATATGATGAGCTCAGTGCAGTTGAAGAAAATGTGTGTGTGTGAAGGAGTAGACTCCACCCATGCATGCACCCATACAACCATTCCCTGGGGAAAAGACTAGAAGGATCTACTCCAGAAAGTTAACAGTGTCTGTTTCTAAGTGGGTCTCCCCAGTTATTTTTATTATTTTGTCTTATCTGAATTTCCTAAACTTCCCATAATGTGCCGAGATTGCTTTTATAAGAACAGGTGAATTTTTAAGGGAAATGACGATCAAAGCTGAAAGACAGATTACGGTCACAGTTTAGCAAGCCTGACCGAGGGGATTTTCTGCTGACAATGAACCTGTTCTATCCCAGGAAGTCACCAAACTCCCTGACTCTGAGGAAGACACTTTTTCACCTTTTATTTGTGGCACACACTCCAGGCAGAGACTGTGATAAGGAAGGAAGATAAGAACTCTGCACAGCACCTTCACACATGGACTAAGCATGTGTAGACTAGATGAGTGATTCATATGCTCTTTAGAAAGCGATATGGTATCATTGGTTAAGTGCAATAGCTATTCTCATTAAAGAATTAAAAAACAGGCACCAGGCCTGTAGTCTGAGATGTAACTTGGTGTTCCAATTTTGTTTGTGGGAAAGTCTGTTTGACTTATTTTAATGCGAGGTACTGAAACTTGTAGAAGGAACTCAGCAGGAGTCAAATGTGGAAAGTGGGGCAATGAGCCTTTAGAATGTTCTCTATACTTGTTCTGCATGTTTCAAATGTTTCCTGATTTGAAAGCCAAATGTGCCAGCCCTGCTTTGTTACCACAGAAGCAGAGCTGATAGAGCAACAGTGTTGTTTGTTTTTTCTTTTCATTGCGGTAACACATTGTGGTAACAGTAGTTTACAACTCTTTGTAAGTCTCAGGGGTACAATTTCTCACCTCAGCAACTGTTATATATCACCTCACAGCCACCACCAAATATTCAGTCACCATTCACCACCAACTAATTGGCCCCCTCTACCATTTCCCTCCTCCCTCCTTCTCCTCGGATAACCACCATTCTGTTGTTGGTGCCTAAGGGTTTGTGTTTTATTTCATTTGATTGCATTTTCCCTCTTTATATTCCACAAATGAGGAAATCACACTTTTTTTGCCTTTCTCCTTTGACTTCACTTAGCATAATCCCCTCAAGATCCATCTATGTTGTTGCAAATGGCAAGGTTTCATCTTTTTTATGGCTGAGAGGTATTCGTGTGTGTGTGTGTGTGTGTGTGTTGTGTATCACATCTTTATTCAGTCATCTGTCTTTAATCATTAGGGTTGTTTCCATATCTTGCCTGATGTAACTATTGCTTCAGTGAACATAGGGGTACATATGATAGTTCCATTTTTAATTTTTTGAGGAACTCCCATACTGTTTCCCATAGTATCTACATCAATGTACATCCCCATCACTAGTGGGAATATGGGTTCCTTTTTCTCCAAATCCTCAGCAGCACTGTTTCTTATTTTCTTAACTTTTTGATAGTAACCACTCTAGCCAGTGTGAGGTAAAATCCCATTGTGGTTTTGGTTTGCATTTTCCCAATGATAAGCAATGTTGTACGTCTTTGGTGAAATGCCTGTTTACATCCTCTACCTGTTTTTTTAATATGTTGGTATTTTGCTGTTGTTGAATTGTATGAGATGTCTGTATATTTTGTATTTAACCCCTTTTTTGATATATGGTTGTGAATAACTTCTTTCGTTTAGCAGGTTGCCTTTTCATTTTAGTGATGTTTGTTTTGCTATGCATAAATGTTTTGGTTTGATGTGGTCCCATTTATTTATATTCTCTTTTGCTCCTTTTGATAACAACAGTGTCCTTTAATTCATTTGCTCAACTACTCACTGACTTAAGCCATGGTGGCCGAGTCTCTGGGAAGCCACAGCGAGGATGGACAAGCCTCAGTCCTAAGCTTCAAAGAAGTTACGATGATGTAGTCAGGGAGGGAGAGAAGCACTGAGAAACTTCAATACAGGGCAACAAGCTGGAAGTTCCCAGAGAGCTAGAGGTGACAGAGAGTGGAGTCAGTGGGAAAGCTGCTTCCAGAAGGGCTGTGCTGCATGCAGTGTATTTGTCAGGACAGGGCTTCAGCCATGCAGGAGCTCTGGCGTAGGGACCAGAAGGGATGGAGGTCACATACAATGGTGTTAAATGTGACTTCTATCTCTCCTTGGCAATCTTAATCCATTTTTTATGACTTCTTTTTGCAAATGATGCTGCAATCTACTCTTTCCAGCCCAGTTTTGTCCTGAGCCCCTGGCCTCACTCACCCCACTGCCATGAGGACATCCTGCAGGGCACCTAACAGGCATGTCTCTCTTCAAATGTTCCACCCACAAAAGGGTCCACCCCCTGCAGTCACCGACTGCATGGGACGCCATCCGCCATTCTGCTAGAATCCTGAGTACAAGCTTTCCGCCTTCCTCTCTGAAGCCCTTCCCACTCAGAGGGAAACGTTCTATCTTAGTAACTATCCCACCCACCCATATATCTCATTCTCACAGCCCAGCGCCTCTTAGCCTAGGCCCTTTCATGCCTCATAAGTCCAGTCTTCCTAAACGGGGGTACCTAATTTACCTAAAGGGTCCTAAAGGGATCTACCAGGCCCTTCTCCAAGTGGCCCCCAATAACCCTTCCACACCGTCTCTTGCTCCCTGTGGGCTATTTTCTCTGTCCGTAATGTCCTTCTAGTCTCCCACGTCCTTGTCTGGCTAACTATCCCTCATCATAGGCAGCACTTGGCTGAGATACTCATTCTTTTCTAAAACTCCCCTGTAAGTGGGGACAGTTACTCAAATACTGGCCCCTGCCCACAATGCCTGACTTGTTTGCAAATACCAATGGATTGCAACTGTTTCTTGTCTGCTCCTCTATTCATTCTCCCTGGAGTACCCCTGGGGATCTCTTTGTAAATCATGTGCCCTGCCCCACCTCTTCAAACAAATGGAAGACTTTAAGATCATATTTAATGAACTTGGAATCCTTGTTGGATATCTTCTCTCCTATCAGTTTCCCAATAAAAAGAGGGACTTACTTTCTCAAATCTTTAAAGACTCTAATATTAACACAGGCAAGCAAACCGTGTTTGTGTCCTTAGCCAGCCACACTCAGTAGACACTGGATGGCCTTGCTGGCCTGGTATTAAATCAGGACAGGGCGAGCAGTGAGATCGAGTGTTTCTAAGGAAGTGAGAACTCAGGGGAGATGGCACCAGGAGGAACCAGACAGAACCCTGTTAATTCCGGTTCCATCCTTTGCCCACTCTGTGGCATGAGGCATTTCAGCCTTCAGAAAGTGAGCATGAGAACCCGTATCAGGGGATTATTGAGAGAGCCCAATTAGGGCCGGGGCTGGGATGACATCTGTGCTCAGTACATACACCTCCTTGGAGAGGATGATTGTCTTGGTCATGTGACTGGTGGCAGGGGCAGGAGGGAAAGGATTCTCAGTAAATGTTTGTAGAGTAAGTGGACAGCACATTCCGGCCAAGGCGGCCAGTCCTCCCCACCTGCCGGTGAGGGTCACCGCCCCGCCGGGGCCACGGCACACATGGGCAGGAATCCCCTGGGGACAGGCTGAGCAGACTTGACTGAGATGTCTCCGTTGCCAGGATGTGTCCACTCTCTTAGAATGGCGGTCTATTATTTTACAGCAATCAGAGGAATTACACTGTTTGAAGAATGTTTAAAATGTTTATAACCAAAGATAAGGAAACTAATAATAGCTGGCAATTCCTGAGCGCTTAACTGTGTGTGCGCCAGGTGCTGGCCCACTTACCGAACGTTAGTGCCCATGAACATCCCGTGAGGTTAATACTGTGTCATGTGCCACTGAGGAAAGAGAGGGACAGAGGCGGGACAGCTCTCCTGTGTCATGGGGCTCCTAGATGGCAGGGCCTGGATACGAACTCAGAGTACTTGACTCCAAAACCTGCACACTCCTAATACCAAACTTTCTAGCATCTTCTACCATGTTTATCATTTCATCCTCCTTTTAGTGAAGTCTGAGAGTCACCCTGGGCCGCTGGCACCATGTTCCAATCTTAGGGAAGTGGGTCTCAAATAAGTGGCAAGTGTTTATCAGCACTGTGTTCTTGGGCTCAGCTCCTCAAGACGGGGGTGGAAGGGTTGGAGATGTGGGATGTAGGGCTTGGAGTGGGGTGGGGACCCAGCGTGTGCTCGAGGTTCGTTTTCTCATCTGTGGTTTCGTAGGAAGATGCCCTCCATGCCAAACTTCCATATTTTGTGTCAAATGAATGGGGCAGGCAGAATCTACAGCCTGGAACTGGGAGCAGAGGGCTGAGAAAATAAGTCTTTGTTATTTTTAAATGAGACTCAGCTCAGTCTAGACCCTACTCTGTCTCTTTTCAAATGGCCACTCTTCCTTTTTGCCTGTTGTTCATTCTTTTCACTGTAATTCTTCAACCACTGAGCTTTCTTGTGTTCACCTACAAAATGAGAGTTTCCTCCACATTGAGTCATAGCCCTCGAGGAACTGGTGGGTGTGGGGGGGAAAGGGGAAGATAGAGAAACAGGAACAGAGGACTGAAAGCTGGCAAAGCCTCTTCTGGTTTTTTACTCACAAGCTCCCTCGTCCCTTTATTTCTAATTTCAGGGACTAAGGATCCTGCAAACAACTCACCTGGCTCCCAGTCTCCCCAAGTGCATCTGGGTCCATTTTCTCTCTGGGACTTTGCCCACATTCTTCTCCAAAGGTGCTTCAAAACAAGTTGTTTCCACACTTAAACAAAAGAGTCTGCGTGTGTGCCCTGAGGGGGCTGGGGAAGGCCAGCACCACCCAGCCTCCGGGGGAGAAACACCAAGAGTGGAGACATGGAAGCCCCTCATCTGGGTGATGATCTGGTGCAAACAACCCTTAGGTTTGTCAACAAACCATTTTTGTCTGGACTTCTGGTAGGGCAGGGACAAGAGTCTTATTTTTTTAGCGATATTTTTTAGCAATATTTAGCAATATTGTACCTAAAGTAATTCTTAACGGAAAAGGCATATAAAGGGAAAGAAAAGATGTGCATAAGATATTTCTACTTGATCTTTCACTTCCTGTATAGGAATTTAATTTCTATAAGAAAGCAATAGGGATAAATGCTCAATTTCTCAAAACCAATGTAACTCATTCAGAAAATAATTAAAAAAAATTTAAATCTGATAGAAGAACCCCAGGTCCCAGCTGACTCAATGGTTTCAGTTATGACCTGGTCTTCCACTGATTTTAGAAGCAACTATATGACCCACCTTGATTCTCAGGCATATCTGAGTTGAGGGGGACTGGCCTATCCACAAAGCTAGGGTTGCATTACCTGCCCCTGCCACTCCACTAGCATAGCTCTGCCTGCCTTTCCTGGGCCCTGCTTGAGACTTACACCTTCTTCGATCAATGCTCCAGATGTGACAGAGTTCATACTAGTTAATCATTCAAGACCTTAAAACAAAACAAATGAGCCAGGTATTCCACAAAGGAAATAGACTATTAAGACAGAGACTTTTAGGTCTGATTTATGTAAAAAGATACTGTTTACAAGGATGCAAAGTTCTCACCGGCAAAGTAAAGGCCTCTTGAGACTCATCTGCAGAAATTGCCTCTGTGTCCATGTTCAGGAAGACACAGCCAAGTCTCCCTGGGCAGACAGTGTTTTCTCCATAGGTGGCATAGCCTTCCTCCAGGTCACCTCTCGTTCCCTCCTGCTGTCGTCCTGTGTGTTACCCTCCCACCCTCTTCTGACAGGTGAGAAGGCCTTTCTTTGGGGTTGGGGTTTGTGCCCCACACGCCTACCTGGCACCAAAGTTGAGTCTTAGTGCCCTCCATGTGGGCAAACCCAGCAACCTCTGTAGGGAAAGGGAGGAGGCAAAGAACCCAGCCTGGAACAGACCCTCAGGGACACTGAACCCTGAGCAAGCACTTGAGTCCCCCAGTAGGAAGCACCAAAAGTCCTTTCCCTACCCGTTCCCTCCAGGCACAGAGAACCCAACACATCCGATGATAGTCAACCTCAGGTTGCTGCCCCCCACTGTAGCCTGTGTCCAGGTGGGGTGTCCAGGGGTAAAGTTCAGGAATCTCAGTGCACAAACCCAATAGGCACAGAGTACAGCAGCAACCCAGAACAGACCTACGCCAGACATTCCAAACCATGGAACTCAAAAGGACTCGAGACACTGTCCTGAGCTGGCCACCTTTTTCAGATCACGTACCCTAATGACAAATGTGGGTGCCATTTCCAAGGATAAAGCTTAATGACCTAACCCCTGTGATCTGTGGAATATTTCCAGAGCCTTGGATACTCTGGATCCACCCAACCAAGCCTCTCAGCGTAAGAGCCCAAAGTCTAGTCTGAGCCGTCCAACTTGTAATTGGGAAACCTAACGCTTTCAAGCTGAAGTCACCAGCCCTGCAGAGGCAGCACTGGGTCTGTGTCCCCCGGTCTCTAATGCCCTTTCTCCCCACCGACTCACACCTGTCTTCCAGTTCTCAAAGCAGGACCCTTGCAGAGCCAGCACTCCAGTCCCTCCTTGCACTAAGGAGATACCCCTGAGCAAGCGAGCCTCAATTTCCTCATCTGAAAAGTAGGTGTGGTAATAATGGTAGCACCCAGGGAGAAAGCAAAAATCAATATAATATGATTAACCATTCACATCCCCAGCCTCCACGGTTCTCTCTGACTGCCTGTTAAACTCCCCTCTATTCCATGGACACCGCAATAGAGGCCCAACACCTTACAGGCGTTGTGGGGACTCCACTTACATTGTTTTAGAGGGTGCTCAAGTAACGACATCTCAGGGCTAAAATTTAAGAGAAAACTTCACAGCGCCAAGCACCAGTATCTGCAACAAATGCCCTATTATCTAGTTGTAACCATCATCCTAAGTCACCGTTTTGTAAGATCCCTCCCTCCCTGTCAATCCGCCCTGGTCGCTTGCCCTTCCTGCGCGCACAACGGCGCTCACCTGGTCGGTGCCGAGGAGTCGTTGCGGGACAACCTGGAAGAAGATGCAGAGAGGCAGGGCTGTCAGCGCCGAGTAGCCCCAGATGAGCGTGAGCAGCAAAGCCCGCGTCCGCGGCCCGGGGCCACGGACTCCTCGCTGCAGGCGCACGATGCACACCATGCGCTCCAAGCTGACAGCAGCCAGGGTGAGGATGGTGACGCTGCCGCTCAGGCACATCACGTAGAAGACCAGGTGGCAGGCGACCTGGCCCAGCAGCCAGGCCTCCGTCCAGCGCACAACCAGCACGGGCGGGATCGCGCTGGTGAAGAGCAGGTCCGCGCAAAAAAGGTTGAGTACAAGGCAAGCTGTGGTGCCTCCGCGCCTTCGGCGCGCCACCAGCACTAGGGCGCACAGGTTGCCCAGCACCGACACCGCAAAGATTAACGCCAGAACGACAGTCTCCACGGTGCTCAGCGCTATCCGGTGGTCGCCCTTGAAGTCGGAGAAGAAGGGGAAGCGGGTGCGGTTTGCCAGCTCCAGGCTGCGCGGGGGCCAGTGCCTACAGTCTGCGCGCTCTCAGGGAACATGCCCAACGCGCGGCGGCCCGCGGCCCGCAGCCCTCTGTGAGCGCGCTCTTCTGGGAGGTGACTGAGAGCCAAGGCGGGGAAAGAGGGAGGAAGGCGGTTGCGACATCTCCCCTCCGGCCCCCTCCCGCCTGCGGAGCGCCCGCGCTGGGCGTAGCGAGCTCAGCTCCCGGCGCTGGGAAGAGGAAGTGCCGGAAGGAGCGCTGGAAACACCCTGTCTGGGTGGTCACCCGGGGAAAAGCTCACCCTTCAGGTGGGTTTGGCAGCACCGGAGGATCCCTGGAACCACACATACCCAGTGAACCCTCACAGGCCAGCCCAAGTCTCTCATCTTCCAGAGGCACCAGTGTGCCAAGTCCACCCATTTAGCCAAACTCACTTGGGAGTATCAGAGCTGGACTTGGGAAATCATTTTAGCCTATGTTGTTCAGGCCTCACCGAAGAAGCTACCTGGGTCTGGGGGCAGGTGCCAAAGAGCCTTGCAATGGGTTTAGATTGGGGGTGGGGGAGATTGCAGAGGTCAAAGGGGGAGAATCTTTTGTTTTATCATCGATAACATTAGACTTTGGGTGGACTAAGCTCGCTATACACAGTTTTTTTGATCCGTAAAATGGAAATAATAACACCTCATTGGATAATTGTGAGGATGATATAAAGAGATCCACACTCTGAGCACATAGTAATCACTCAAGAAGTGTCATCAATTACTAGTTATTGTCATTAAAATGCATGTCAATTTTGCATTCTGAGCAATGATATAAAATGTTTTCATGTAAAAAATGGTGGGATCCCCAAAATCTTGAATAAGCTCAACATCCCCAAAAAGATATTCCAATACTTTCAGGCTGTGAATGTGCCTCAGGCACCCTAGTTTGACAGGCCCTGGGCAATACAGTCTCCTTATAGATGAGGAAACTGAGACACAGCAAGAAGTGACATGTCGGAGGTGGTCCCCCATTAGTAATTAAAGGTCAAGTCACCTGCCCTTGTCCCAAATGCTTTCACCACACAACTGCTGTCTAGTTTTCTGATATAGGGAATTCGGAAGTTAGAGAATTAAGAGTGTCCAGTGACCTCTTCCTTGACCAGCCACCCTCTCACCACCCACAGCTTTCCCCTCTCCCGTTTACCGTACAACCAGCCCTCTGCCTGGCAATTGTTCCCGTGCATTTATGAAGGGTTCAGTCTGGCAGTCTGAGGAAGGGTGGGGGAGGGGGGTTGTACTTGTGTGTCTGTTAATTACCGTGTGGGGAAGGTCTGATTGGCAATGTGACCTCTGACCTTAGTGGCAGACTGCATGTCAGTGGGAGAAGCTCATTTTACACCTGGATTGAGCTCAAACTAAAATGGAACCAGCTTGTTTCTGAAAGGGGGTAAGAGGTTGACATATAGAGAACGCAGGTGGGATCTGGCAACTGTCTGATTAGGGTCAGGGGATATTCATTCTCATGTGAGGGAAAGGAGAGCTGTGTGTGTTTGGGAGAGGGGAGAAGGAGATTCCATTTTCACAGGCTGATGTGTTATAGGGACAGGAAGAGGTTTTTGCAGTGTGAATGACCAGAGTGGAGTCTCTGCGCTAGGAGGTCTACTCCATCGTTACCCTCCAGGGTTCTTCAGATGGCTACATGGTGAGCACAGAGGTCCCCAAACCACCTCCTTTCCCATCACTTTCATGGCACCCCTAGGCCAAAAGGAAAATCCAACAATTCCATTTATGAAATAGTTGGTCACAAATGATTTAATAATACTTTATGTTCTAACAACTTAGAAACCACCTTCAAAGACAAAAACAGTGAACTGAAAAATAAAATTTTGTTCCGGTCTTAAGCAACCAGAATAGTTTCCTGATGGAATGGGTGCACCTGTTGAGCTTTGAAAAACCAGTCATCAGTTTGGGCTGTTGCCCTCATTTCTTGCTCCATGTTGATTTTTATGCACTGCCTGCTTTTTATCACAGTAACCCCTGAAAATTCATGGATTTAATGTTGAAATTGTGAATTAGGTAGTTTGTAGTTTATGCAGAGTCCAATGGATAGTTCCAGAGGGGAAGGGACTAGTCCTGTTTCCCTGGGTCTGAGCACACACAGGCTCATAGTTACTAATGCGGCCTTGGAATCTCCCTGCCATGATCAGAATCCCGGCTGTATACGCACTGTGAGACCTTGAGCAAGTTACTTTAGCTTCTGGTGTTCAGCCTTCCCGTATATAAAACGGTGATAATAACAGTACTGACCTCGCAGGGGCTGTTTTTTTTTTGGGGGGGGGTGGGTTGTGCAGGGTGGTGGTAAATGAAGTGTCTGCACATCAAGCTCTTTTTTTTTTTCCCCCAAGAATATGTCGACTGCAACTTTTGCCTGATGATTCAGAAATGGGTATGCATTGTGAGAGTCCAGTCGTCCATAAGAGCTTTGCGAGCTTTTGAAGGAAGTGTTGTGTGCAGTATTGGCTTTGCTTCTGGAATCCAGGACACAGCTGAAATTGCCTAGTGCCAGTGACTGACTGTCTCATCTGGAGTAATCTTCTTCACCATCTTTTCTGGCCTAATAGATATTTCATTCTCACACATTTGCCAAACAGACATCCGTTCTCTTCTCTTCTCATTGTTTCCTTGAAGAGAAGTGATAGTTCATAGAAATGAGAAAATGAAACAAAATAGAAAATTTTATTTTCTTTTTAAAACAACAGTATAGAGTTAAGGTTGCAGTTTAAAGTAAGATAATTTGTCTAGATACCAAATTTCAGAACCCATGCTATATGCCAATAAATGGCACAAATTGACATGGAAAAATAGCTTTTTTTTTTTTTAATCTATTTCTCAATAGGGCATTTGGGTTGTTTCCAGTTTGGGGTAATTAATTATAAATAAGTTGTTACAAGCATTTGCATCCAGGTTTCTATTTTTTTTTATTATCTATGACTGGTTCATTTATTGTGTCAGTCAATGACAATTTCATAATTCATACAAGTATATTCTATCCTTAATATTAAATTAAAATTTGAATATAAGACAATATCTTAGACTAACTTTAGAAAAATAATGAATAAGAAGTTGTATGTCACTTCCCAAGCACAGATAATTTCTTTTTCTTTTCTAGCTTCTTTTAACCTAATAGCTCTAAATGTTATAACTTGGTACAAATTTACCACCCTAAAAATCTGAACTCTGTAAATTTCAACCAATTGCAAAAACAAAACAAAGCATGTCTGTTCTTGAATTAATTGTGGAAATAATTGAATATAATTACCAAGAACACCTTCAATTTCCCAAATGAAACATATTTTTGAATATTCTCTCTTTATATTTATGGTGGTCTCCAGAATCTTTCATGATCATAGTTATATAGTCATATGCCCTGAACACCTAATAGGTATCTCCTTTTTATTTTTTTATTTTATTTTTATATTCCCCATACAATTGCAGCCCCCTTATTTTAACCCCAATCCCTCCTTTTCCCGCCATTCCCCTCCCCCTCCCCATAGTGTGTCTCTGGTTCATAGTTATTTGTTGATTTTGATTTTCTCTTTCTTACAGTTATTCTTTTTCCTGGTCCCTTATTTAGGTTTTCTAGATTCCTGCTATGAGTGAGACCATCTAGTATTTTTCTTTTTCTTTCTGGCTTATTTCGCTGAGAATGATCCCTTCCAGCGCCATCCATGTTGCTGCAAATTGCATGTGTTTATCTTTTTTGAATGCTGAGTAATATTCCATACCACATCTTCTTGATCCAGTCATCTATTTTTGGGCATTTGGGTTGTTTCCAAAGCTTAGCTATTTAAAATTGTGCTGCTATAAACATAGGGGTGCAGGTGCTCTTTGGAATTAATGTTTCTGTGTCCTCTGGGTAAATACCTAGGAGTGGAATTGCTGGATCATATGGAAGCTCTAACTTTAGTAGGTTGAAGAATCTCCACACAGCTCTCCATAGTGGTTGGACCAGTTTGCACTCCCACCAGCAGTGCAGGAGAGTTCCTTTTTCTCCACAACCTTGCCAACATTTATTGTTGCTAGTTTTTTTTTTTTTTTTAAATTTATTTATTTATTTATACAAGCACTGGGTACAGTCAGAAGCGCAGGAGGGTGAGAGAATTCAGAGCCAGAGTGGGGAACAAAACAGGCAGGCTGATGAAGAAATACACTGCTGAGGGGAGCAGCGGGCGGCAGGAGAGGTCTGCGCGCCATGTGGGACCCTTGCCTGGTGGCTGGGGATCGAACCGGCGCTGCAGAGGCTGCGGGCAGCTTCGCAACCCAGCGCTCAACCACTGAGCCACCGGGGAGGCCCAGTTGCTAGTTTTTTTAATATGTGTCATTCTCACTGGTGTGAGATGGTATCTCATTGTAGTTTTGATCTGCATTTCCCTGATTGCAAGTGACGTTGAACATATTTTCATATGCCTGTTGGTCATATGTATTTCCTCTTTGGAGAAGTTTCTTTTTAACTCTTCTGCCCATTTTTGGACTGGATTATTTTCTTTGTTGTTGTTGAGTCTCATCAGCTCTTTGCAGATTTTTGTGATCAGTCCTTTATCATTAGTGTTGTGTGCAAAAATGTTCTCCCAGTTGGTGGGGTTTCTCTTTGTTTTTGTTATTGTCTCTTTTGCTGTGCAGAAGCTCTTTAATTTGATGTAGTCCCAGCTGTTGATCTTTGCCTTCACTATCACTGCTTTGGGTGATGTGTCTGTGAAGATGTCTTTGAGGTGCATGTCATGTAGTGTTTTGCCTATATTTCCTTCTATATATTTTATGGTTTCAGGTCTTATGTCTAGTTCTTTAATCCATTTTGAGTTGGTTTTTGTACATAGTGTGAGGTAGTAGTCAAATTTCATTCTTTTGCATGTAGTGACCCAGTTTTCCCAGCACCATTTATTAAACAAACTTTCTTTGCTCCAGTGCATATTCTTTGCTCCTTTGTCAAAGATTAGTTGACCATAAATCTGTAGGTTTATTTCTGGGTTTTCTATTCAGTTCCATTGGTCTGTGTGTCTGTTCTGGGTCCAGTGCCATG